GGATCATGACCTGAGCCGAAGGCAGTCGCTTAACCAACTGAGCCACCCAGGCACCCATAAATCCCCTTCTTGTTTCACCATCACTCATCTTTCTGCCTTTGGAGTTTGTCTGGGGTGAGTGGTCAAACCTGGTCTGTTTGGGACTCCCAGAGCCACGGACTCTTGCACTCCTGTGCCCCACCTACATTTCCACTGTCTTTTTGTCAGTTCTTTCATGAGAAAGTGAATGAAAGTGTCACAACTTCCCATAGAAAATTTGATTTGAACTCAACAGATTTGAAAATGATATATAATAAATGGTGTGTTTGAAGCTCTATTTTTATGAGGCTAAATTATAGCATAATTATATACATAAATTATATACATTATATAATTAAAATTTGAAGTCGGAAGACTGAACCAGCACTACACTTTCCCTGATACCAAAAGGGGAAGCAGGTAATAAAAATTTTATTCCTGGGCGCCTGGGTGGCTCAGTTGGTTAAGCGACTGCCTTCGGCTCAGGTCATGATCCTGGAGACCCTGGATCGAGTCCCACATCGGGCTCCCTGCTCGGCAGGGAGTGTGCTTCTCCCTCTGACCCTCCCCCCTCTCATGAGCTCTCTCTCATTCTCTCTCTCTCTCAAATAAATAAATAAAACCTTTAAAAAAAATCATTTTATTCCTCCATTCTCAGTCCATACCAAGAAACACAGGCTAACTTTCACTAATCAAAGTTTATGGTTGATGGAGTTTTCTTGTATTATATATATATATCTGCAAAGATAAGCATATGAAGACTAGTTTCTTGTGATTACCTTCACCTTGGTTAATAACATTGGTAGCCAAAACATAGATTACTAATATACTTTTATATTTTTTTACTTAAGGTCAACATGATACTGTAGTTTTGAGTGATAGCACTCAGAAATTTTGGGTAGTACCTGGTAATATTCAGGGTAATCTGCTACTTCCTTATATATTCAAATTTGATAATTTTCATTTGCTTTTTATTTAAGAGACCAATCTCTTTGTTTCTTTAACATTTAAAAATTTTTTTTCTAGTTTTATTGAGATATTATTTACATATAATATTGTAGTAGTCCAATGTGTACAACAATGATT